GTAGACAGGACATCTACTGGTCATTTTTGGTGATGCTAGGAAACAACTGGTGACTGTAGAACTATGACTTCACTTAGTAAGGACTGAGTGAGGAGCATCCCTCGAAGGTTCTCCACCCTAACAAGCAGTCATTGGTGAAGTGCCCACCAGTGTGGCTCTTACCTGAGAAGAATTGCAATCCTCACGGTCACCAGGAGTCCCAAGCTCATTTCACTTTTCCAGACCTGAACAGAGGTTATTGGTGGGAAGGACAAAGACTTCTCAGTGGAGTTTGCAAACCACAAGTGTTTAAGTAAAGAGCTGGACTCGGTCTTATTGCAGGAAGGGTGTTGGGTGGAATTGCAGAGTGTGCCCTAACCAGGAGTCTCCGTGGCCACGGGAGCCATATTCCCTGAGAGCCTCATTAGAAGCTACCCAAAAGTAATTGTCCTAGTTTTCCTCCTTCGGCTCTTTTAGATCCAGACCTGATCTTAAAAACCTGTCCTCCAAGTAGTGTAATCCCTTGGCAACACTAGAAGTGATGCAATCCTGAGAGTAATCACTGGCAATAACCTTTCTGCTAAAGAGAGCTTTGGAGGTTGTCACTGTTGGGAACTATACATGGAGCTGGTGACTAATTTAAAAGTAGCTTTGGATTCACAGAGACCTGTACTCAATTCTCAGATCCACCTTTACCAATTGTGTGACTTTGGTTGTTCTCAGAGCCATCAACTTGACTCCAACTCTCATAGCCACTTTATGCATAACAAAAGGAAGTGAGGAGATGTGCCCCCTCCTGGGCCATCCTCACAATAATAGGGATGCTTGAGCCCACTGTGCAGATCCATGACACTGGGGATCTTTCTCTTTTTCACAGGTCTTCTGTTTTACCAACCATAATGTCTTCCTCTGGGGAGCTGTCCTTTCTGTCCATGTGTCCACAGTGAGCAACAGTGTTAGACAGGGTTCTTTAGAGAAACAAACTAGGATGCTTATAATTATATATAGATATAGATATATAGATATAGACATATACAGCCTGAAGGAATATAACAGCTAATTAGTCCACACAGCAGTACACAGGGCTCAGTTCAACTCACTTCCATGGAACAGTTAATATACTGGAAGTCTTTCAACTCATGAAGGCTGCTGGGTCCAAGGTCAAGGAAGCAGACAGCTGAGAACTCTGTAGAGCAATACAGGTAGTCCAGCAGGGTAGGTCACCAACAGTCAGCCAGATGACAGAATCCGACAGTCCCAAGCTCAAGTGATGTATACACCAGCAGTATGGTAAAACAGGTCTCAAAGGAACCTCAAGCTCTAGCGACATGATCCACGGGTTGGTGTCCCTGGAGTAGTGTAGCTCACAAGTTGAAGTACAGAACTATCTAAGGCAGCTGTACGCTGGTCTGATTAACAGAGAACAAGAAAGAGAGAGGCGGGGCTCACCAAAACATTTATCTCTTTGCCCTCAAATCAAACTGTAACCTTATTAATCTCACATGTGCTTATTGGCCAGATTAACACAATAAACCCCTTGCCAACTTGACACCTCTACACAATTCTTTAGCCATATATAATTTCCAGACATTAATGAAATCACACTTATACCTAACATCAAACATCTGTCATACATGTCCATGAAAACACACTGAATCTAATTGTATCTGGTACATTATACATGAACAAAGGAAAGATATTCAATAAGCACATATAAAGAAGATAAACTGACCATCACAAACCTCACTTTTGCAATTGATCTCATGGTTGTAACTTATAGTTAGAACTACCTTCTTCTAATATCCCTTCTGTATTACCTTTGCCCTCAGCCAGCACCTCAGCTGGCCCTGGTTGTTTGCCTGGTGGGGTGACACAGACCTTCATTCCTGAGGGGTCTGGATCATTAGACGTCCTGTCAGGATTAGGTTGCTGTAGTTTACCATTTACTTTAATCACAAGGCATGGTAGCACTAAGAGTCGGCCTATGGGATCTCCTGGATTCCAGACATATTCTTCTTTACCTCCATTATGTAGCACCAGTCCAATTTCTCCTTGGTAATCAGGATCAATCACACCACTCAGTACAGTAACATCCTTTCTGACCTGTTGATCCAAAGGCATAAGAAGCCCAAAGTGGCCAGGGGGCATTCTCAGCTGCCAGTTCAGTGGAATCGTGCTGTTTCCAGGTGAGAGAATTCCTTCCTTTGGGACCAGGACTTCCAGGCCTAAAGGCATAGGGTTGCTGGGACAGGAAGCAAAAATGCTGCAAGTGGATCACTAGGAGGAATAGTGAGGGGTGCCACGCTAGCTTCCACCCCTTAGTTCCTGGACCCATGAATCCTAGCTATTGGAGACTCAGTGCCATATATTGGCTGCTGGTTTAGAGCGTATACAGCCTCCTGGAGAGAATTATCCCAGCCCCACAAGTTTTTGCCACTTAGCTGGCACTGTAAAGGTGTCTTTAGGAGGACATTCCATTGTTCTATTAAGCCACCTTCTTCAGGATGATGAGGAATGTGATATGACCAGTGGATTCCATGGGCATGGGCCCATTGCCACACTTCATTTGCTGTGAAGTGAGTTCCATGATCTGAAGCAAAGCTTTGTGGGATGACATGCCGGTGGATGAGGCATTCTGTAAGTCCACGAATGGTAGTTTTGGCAGAAACATTGCATGCAGGGAAGGCAAATCCATATCCAGAGTAGGTGTCTATTCCAATATGAACAAAATGCTGCCTCCTCCATGATGGAAGTGGTCCTATGTAATTAACCTGCCAGCAGATTTGCCAGTTGATCTCCCAAGGAATGGTCCCGTATCTTGAACTCAATGTTGGTTTCTGCTGCTGGCAAACAGGGCACTCAGCAGTGACAGTGGCCAAGTCAGCCTTGGTGAGTGGAAGTCCATGTTGCAGCACCCATGCACAACCTCCATCCCTGCCACTATGTCTACTTTGTTCATGTGCCCATTGGGTGGTGACAGGAGTGGCAGAGGAAAGAGGAGGACTAGACTCCAGAGTGCATGTCATCTTGTCCACTTGATCATTAAAGTCCTCCTCCTCAGAAGTAACCCTTTGGTGAGCTTTCACATGAGACACGATTACCTTTACTTTCTTGGCCCATTCAGAGAGGTCTATCTACATACCTCTTCCCCTCACCTCCTTGTCACCAATTTTCCAATCATGTTCCTTCTGATTCCCTGACCATCCAGCCAAGCCATTAGCCACCACAGCCATGA